AGAATAAAAAATTATGATGATGAAAAAATGATGGAAACGTGAATGGAAAGTTTTTTTTTTGTCAATTTCTCGTCATCATTTCGATATCATCATGATTTTTTGTTCTGCTTGGCTAAAGAAAATATCGTGTATTTGCAGCATAATCGGTCATTCGGGATCCAATTCGGGTTGCGATTTTCGCGGGAGTGATGGCAGAGTCTCGTGTTTTCGTCGCGACAAAAAACGGTTACAGAGCATAGAAAGTAAACATAACGCGGGAAAATAAACGAGCGTCGGTAGTGTCGCGTCAAGTGCCGCGCGCTTCGAGAATCGCGCAAGTTAGTTCCAGTAGCGAACGCGACGCGGCGGTACTGATTCGAAAAGCGTCTCGAAATTTTGTCATTTCCGACTTGCCTGAGCTGTCTCGCGCGCGCGAATTGTCGTCACGGATTCTGACAAGATGAATCGCGTGTGTTATCGCCGGGAATGCCGAAAAACGATCACGCGAATGATCGCCGAGAGTGAATTTCGCACGTTATCGTCGGCAGTGCCAAGTGAATGTTATGTGCGTCGCGATAAGGATCCAGGCAGAAGCATTTCACGTTCGTCTGGCTATGGCAGTGTGGAATCAAAATCGCCGCGTCCCCCGCTCCCGACTCGCCGAGGAAAAAGTCACCAAGCACCGGCAACAAGGTAAGATTCTGCCTTTGCGACTTTTAAGTAATGGTTTTGCTAAGCATAACGCGCACGTCCCGCTCCTGAATTCAAATCAGCGTTATTAGGAAATTTTCTTGTATTTCATCTCTGTACTTTTCGTATTTAAACCCGAGCACAATGTGCTCTTTTCTTGCAGTTTCTTGTTCTCTATCTTTTTTGGCTTAAAGTCCGATCTGCAATGTGTTTTTGCTTCCTGTTTCTTGTTTACTATCTTTTTCTAGCTAAAGTTTAAAAATTCAAATGAGAAAGAGATAAAGAGAAAGAAACAGGAAGCAAAGAGCATATTGTAGATTTGAGTTATGGCTCGAACCAGAAAAACATAGAGAGGAAGAATCAGGTAGCAAAAAGAGCACTTTGCAGATTTGGACTAAAACTTGGTAATTCAAGAGACAGACACTCTAAACAACGTAAACTTCTAAAAGACGTCTGAGAGACGTGTCAGAGACATTCAAATAAGATAGGACGTCTGTCGCATGTCTTCAAGACATCTTACAAAGAAGTTTATACAGTCTGGGTGTAACTGTCTGGGAGGTAATTTACACAAATCAAAGGGTAGGCTGCATTTCGGCACGACAATGCGCCGACAGTTGAACTCGTTCGGCGCAAAAGTGTTGAGAGAGAAACTGGTAGCGAATTCGGCAGCTTGCACTAGTGTGCACTGGGTGCACGTTAAGGCTTGTTTATAGTACATTCTTATAGTATAGTATTTATTACCATTTGCTATTGCCAAGAAGGGGACTTGGTTTACAATATATAATCTTATCATCATCCACACATCCATACATTCATCCACACTTTATGTACTACGCCTTTCCCTGTTCTCTCTCTCTCTCGCTTAAACTTATACTTAATCTACTCTTATCCTTCTGAGAGAAAAATTATCTTAAAATCAACAAATATTTCCTTGATGGGTGCCATTAACATATTTACTTAAATCTACATTCTCTTTACTTAAATCAAATATTGTTTACTTGATTTAAATAAACAATATTTGATTTAAGTAAAGAGAATGTAGATTTAAGTAAATATGTTCATGGCACCCACCAAGGAAATATTTGTTGATTTTAAGATAATTTTTCTCTCAGTGTACTATCATACTATTGCAGCCACAAAAATCTCTCCCCTTTTTCTCCTCTTTTTTCCTTTAGCTTCTTGTCTCTTTATTCTTACCTTTTTCTTTCTTTTTCTCTACTATCTTTACCTTCTTTCTTTTAACTTTCTCTCTCTTTCTTTCCACATCTTTTTTAGAATTTTACCTTTCACTTCGTCCAATTCATTCCATATCCTTTCTTTTCCCTCTTTTTCTTTTCCATCAAATTCCTCAAACCATTGACTCCCTACCTCATATTAATACATTCTTATATTTAAGATCGTGTCTTAAATAAATATTTAAAAATATGTTAGCTAATATCCCAGATAGCACAGAAGTTTCAAAAAGCTTTCAGAAATGTTTCTGAAACATTGCATCTTTCTGAGATCTTTCTGAAATCTTTCTGAAAGCTTTTTGAAACTTCTGTGCTATCTGGGATAATGATTCGTACGAATGTTACATATCATATTACTGGTTAAAAATGAAAAATTTGAGAATTTATTTAAGACGATCTTTAAATATAACAGCATACTATGAACAAGCCTCAGTGCGCACTAGTGCAAGCAACCGAATTCGCTATGAAAGACATCGACGACGCCGTGCGTATAGAGTCTCATGGCGCGAAGTTCGAACGGGGCGCGTGGTGCGGGACGGGACGAAAGGGCAAAGGGGGCAGCAGCCGTGGCTTCGGGGCGAACGCGGGGCTGAATGTAGCCGCCGAGTGCGCGCGTCACATGCGCGCACGCACACACAGCGACGCCGAGTGACGCGCACGTGTATCGCGCGGTGTGGCGTGCGTATAGCGGGGCGAGAAAGTTTCGGTCGTTATCAATCTCTGTCCCAATCGCTGGACCGCTGGAAGTGCTCGTCGTGGTCGGTGATCTCGTCGCGGACGGCAGGCCGCGATCGGGCTGGTGGTGGTCGAGGTAGGGAAAGAGCAGCGGGGCTCGTCGACAGCACGGGGCTGTGGGAGAAGCCGGGAGATAGTCGCGATGCCCGCGAACAAGTCGAATCTGTCAACGCCCCGCAAGGAGAAGTCCGGCAACGGCCTGGTCGCCGCCTCCGCCGTCGCCGCCAACGCCGCCGCCAAGAAAAAGAAGCGCTCGTCCTGCGTTAAGCATAAAAAACATTGCAGGCAATACCTGGTGAGTGTGACGAAGGGAGAGCGAAGGGTTGACGCGAGACGCCGTGAGAGACGCCGCGGCCCGTGCGCGAGCGGCCATATTGACGGCGGAAAAGGGGGACACGGACGTGCGTCCGGACGCGCGCGATAAGCACACGCGTCCGTTCGTGAGAGACCACCACCTCCGCCGATCTATGCACAGCCCCGATCAATCGTCCCGAGGCTCTCGTCGCGTTCCGCCGCGCCCGAGATCTCGCGTGTGGACAGCTCTCGGCGAGGTTATATCGCGAGGGTGCGTCGGGGCGCGTTTTCACGGGAAATACGTCCCCTCGGCATTTTCGCGGTGTCGGCAGTCGATTTTATGTCAGCTCTGAATATTTCAGCGCGCTCTGAAAGGTAGAAATCCGCCGGTAGCAGTGACAAATGAACGGTTCGCGTCGAGTAGAAAGCTCGTACTCTTTCTCTCTCTTTCCTTTTCTCTTTCTCTCTCCCTCTTCTAGGGAAATATCGACTATTATCGACGCGGTAATCGCGCGCAGCGTAAGCGGCGTCCCCTCGCTCGTGGACTTTCAATTTTCACCCGAGTCATCGGCTCCGTTCGTGTTTCACTTCGATCCCTTTCTACACTCCCTTCTCGCCGCTCTCTTCCTCTCTCTCTCTCTCTCGCGGCCCTGAATGCATTCGTTCGTTCTCTTGCACGAGGCGAGTGCAAAAGGGTGCAGCTGACGCCGGAGCAGGCGCGCACGTCTGGCGACATGTGTCGGGCCGCCTTCTTTCTCGACACTCTCGCTCTCCGGGGACGATGAAATTGCGCGGTTCAGGAAATATGACCTCTCCTCACGAGGTCAACGTCGCGGTAATTCGACGGGAACAGTGACGAACGGAGCGCGCGAGATATTGACGCGAGAAAGATTCCGCGATCGCCATGCCGACGAAAGTCAGACGACGCACGTGGTGCTTCGACGTGATCGTAGAGGTGAATGTCCGAGACGCCGTAGTCTTCCCTTGTAGCTTTTGTTTTTCTTTTCGTCCGCATCAGCGCGTTTTTTCTTTTTTTTCTTTTTATAAAGTAGGTAGGAATATAGGCGAGATGGAATTGTCCATTTCGCGGTTGGTAGTGAATCGGGAACGATCGATCGGTGTTGAGCATGCCTCGATGTCAATCACGATGCGATATTTCGAATTCCTCTTGATGTTGCGCGTCGAACAGCCGAACGCTAAGTAATTAAATTGGTATGTTCAATGAATAAAGTGTGTTCTAATAAATAAAGTGTGCGGCTATCGAAATTCTCGACGATGATGCTTCAACGTGCGCGATCTCCGAGAACCTACGAGATCCGCAATCCGCATTTCCGATATCGGTGCGAGGAACTTATTGAAGCACGGTACTTCCGCGCTAATTGATTGTGCGAGTTTATTTATTTATTTACTAGTAAACACAGAGAAATAAAATCCCTCTCTGCTCACGAAGAAAAAATGGAAGTGCAAATATACACTGAGAAAAAATACTTAAAAATTTATTTGTAAGGTAAAAGTTTATACTTCTGCGAAATAAATTTTATTTCACAGAAATATACTTTATTTTACAGAAATAAACTTTGTATCACACAAATAAATTTCCAAGTATTTTTTTCTCAATGTAAGCTCGCATGATAGGATAAAGTAGAAAAAAAAATCAGGGTGAGAATAAAATTAAATCAGTGAAATACATAACTTAGATCGGATACGACGCGAACACGGATCAACAATAATATTTGGAGATGTCGGCTCGATTAGCATTTTCATGTAAATCTTGAGCAAACTTCTGGAACAACGTCTCCCCCATATTAGGTCACGTTAAGTGACGTCGTACGAGGCCAGAAGTTGAGGGGCGAGGGAACGTTGTAAAGGGAGGATTGCTGACGCGCAACATCATGGGGGAACTCGTGTTAACGGCATTGTACCCAGCATTCTTTTGTCACGCACACCCTTAGTTACTTATTAGCGGTAGCTGTCGAATTATTCTACTGTATTGTGGTTGTGTGTGGCGATATGTATATATAAATGACGTTGTGCAAACACACTGTTTAAATGTTTTATTTTACGATCACGCCTCGCACTCTCTCTCTCAACACATACACCTCCTGCCCCCCCTTCTCGCTGCCACCCATCACACATCCCTGCGATGAAAGTAACTGGTAGCTCGTTCTGCACCGTACACCTGTAATTTTGTCGCACGATCTCGAGTGACTCGAGATGATTTAGACGGCCGATAGGATCGAGGATCTCGCCGTGAGCGAGAGAGAGAGGATGGGACTTCGGGTTAGTGTCACGCGGAGAAGCGACAATTCACGTATTGATTCGCAACAAAGCCGGGAAAAAGAGGTTGCTGCTGATTCGGCGGGAACAAAGGGCGACAGCAATTCCACTTCTGTGACCACTCGAACTTCCTCTTCCCCATTATGCTTTGCAGGTGCAAAAGTTGACGGAGCAGTTGGCGCTACGTAAAAAAAGAAAAACAATCCTAATATATAAAATTCTTAAATTTATCTGTAAAAACGTTATTATATTTAAGAACTTTTTCGTGCCGTAAACTTAACCTTAAATATATTAAATCACAAAATTCAGCAACGTGGAGTTTGTCTTATAACTAATCAGATTGTGCACTTATATTTATCGCATAGAATGACAAAATAAAAACAAAAAAAGATTTTCAAAATTTTCAAAATTTTTTTCAAATTTCAAAAAATTTTTTTTCAAAAAAATATATCAACGATAAGTGTAATATGAAAATCTAAGTGTAAATTTGTCGCTACAGCGATACAAAAGAGAATTTGCATTATTGTATATAATGTAAATTTAATAATTAATTCCATATATAGTATATTACTTAATGAATATAATTAAAAAAAATCATAGTGTCCATTACCAATGATTGTCTCACTTCGTGATAATCATGAAAGTTTAGTTGGGTAGACTCATTTGCACGGGCAGACTCACAGAGTTGTATTAATTGGCGCCTGGCGCATAGTTTCACGTACTCAATGATTCCGTTTCGATTGCTCCATTTAATCGACATTCGTTTATTCTACGAATAATGTGTATGTGCGTGCGTGTGTGTGTGTGTGTGTGTGTGTGTGTGTGTGTGTGTGTGTGTGTGCGCACACGTGTGTACCTCTGAGAGAAGTAGCCAGCGTGGAGGAAAAGTAAGATATGCACAGATGGATTTACCAAATGCAAAAAGATCTAACCGAAATTTATCCTCTTTTCTCCTCTTCTCGCTATTAAATTACGCACCAAAGAGAGAATTCTCTGTTGGGATATCATTTTGATAGTGATAATCGAATTTTTAATTGAAATTAACAGCTCGTTCGCTTTAACCACATTTTATTCCGCACCTAATCAGCGCGCTTTACGCGCGGCGGTTCGGAAATTTACCTCCGCCCTCCCTGGTCCCTGTCATAATGCACTCCCGATGTGAAATGTAATATTTAGTCTCTCTTACTTTGTGCTCTCCCGATGTGAAATGTAATATTCAGTCGTGCGAAATTTATTGTACATTCGTGACTGCACGGCCGCTTGTTGCGTTAGTTTTATGCCGCGTCGCGTCTGTAATTCGCGAGGTGCAGGTGCTCCGTTCTTCGTACGCGCGCGAACAACGTAGCCACGGAGAACGGAAGCGGAAACCGAGCGTAACGTGCCGCTGACGAGCCTAGGGTGCACATGTACGTGCATGTGGGTGCATTAAATAGTGTTGCAATCATGGGTTGCTGTTCTCTCTCTCTCTCTCTCTCTCTCTCTCTCTCTCTCTCTCTCTCTTCTCTCTCTCTGTCTATCTGTTTCTCCTCCGTCCTTCCTCCCTGTCCGTGTACGGAGGATACTTTTTTTTTGTTGTAGCTATACGTATTATAATTTCATGGTTTGTTCCTTAGCTCGTGCACGATGCATCCTCGAGGATGCAATGAATATTTATTCGCCAGGTAAGTGACGATTCTCCACGATTGAAACACACACACTGAGAAAGAACACACCTCGGTTATTAGAACGAAACCACACACATTTGTTGCTCGACGATCATTTGGGAAACAGATCGAGCAAGTTACCATTGCAAATCATTCCCCACCATTTGTCATTTTAACAAACATACATCGCGCGAAATATAAATCACATTTGTCCTCGTCTATATTCGGGCTGAGTTAGTTATGTCTCCATTATACAGAAGCGTCGCTTAGAACGGCGAATTGAAAGTAACAAATCGCTCGTTCCCACCATGAGGTCATTTGCTGTTCCATATCAACAAGCCATTTGTCGTGGGTACTAGCATTTTGTTAAATTGGCAAAACTTTCTCTCAGTGCACGAGAGAAAGAGAGAGAGAGAGAGTCGTCTCATACATGTCGCACGGCCATACATTTCAGAAGTGAAACTATCCCTCGCGATATTTCTTTACAGAGACATCGCGCGCTTTGGAAAAACAAACGGGGCGACAACGATGCCGTTGAAAGCGTGACCATTCGCGCTCGACGCAACCTTACAAAAATCGGGTTACGCCGTGAAATGCAGCCTCCTACCGTTTCGACAATGAACGTCGAAACGAGATCGTCGAATCGCCGACGATGCTGCAGTTTGCCAATAAAGTGTCGGCGCATAAAAAGTCGTTTATCAATCGCCCGCACGAAAGCTCGCGAAGCGAGAGAGGCATTACTCGAATTAATCGGCAAACAAAATGCTAACCCGTCATCGAACAATATCGCAATTGAATTTGAATAAAAAGCGCTTATTACGTGGCGCGCCACCGAGGCCAGGCGAACGAAATTTCACGATTCGCACGGTGCCAGCCGGAGCTCGCGGGTGTCGTTATGCAAACGCAATTCCTATATAATATTTTAACGATTACATTTGGACGCGTCACTAATAAGTAAATCAATCCAAAAAGTACACTCCGATTTCTTTCTAATTTGGCACAAAAAGTAGAAGTACAAGAAATATTTAGATTATATTTTTTTATTTTGACCCACTTTGAGTTTCACGGGCTGTTTATAGCTTTTTAATGTTCTCACTCCTATCATCAATAAAAATGCATAAGAAATGAAATTGAATACAAGATAATGTTAAATAATTTTAACAAAATCGGCATAGCTGATACACGAACCATTCTAAATTCCTTTAGCCGAGATTCCAACCGAAATATTTCAAATCTGTGCTAAATTAGTCAAAAATGGTTCGAATCTCGGTCAAACCAAAATCCGGTAATTTTAATTAAGATTTTAACAAAATCGGCATAGCTGAGACACGAACCATTCTAAATTTCTTTAGCCGAGATTTCAACCGAAATATTTCAAATCCGTGCTAAATTAGTCAAAAATGGTTCGAATCTCGGTCAAACCAAAATCCGGTAATTTTAATTAAGATTTTAACAAAATCGGCATAGCTGAGACACGAACCATTCTAAATTTCTTTAGCCGAGATTTCAACCGAAATATTTCAAATCCGTGCTAAATTAGTCAAAAATGGTTCGAATCTCGGCCAAACCGAGAAATTATTTGTATAAATAAATTTTTTCAACTTTTTACATGTTTTGTTTAAACATTTTAATATTTATACAAATAATTTTACACATGTGACTTCATATTCATAATCGGCAAATCCAAAAGGCCTATATCTTGTATTCAATTCTATTTCTTATGCATTCTTATTGCACTTGTTGATAATAGAAGTGAGAACACTAAAAAGCTATAAATTACCCGTGAAACTCAAAATGGGCCAAAATGAAAAAAATATAATTTAAATATTTTTTGTACTTCTACATTTATGCTAAATTAGAAAGAAATTTTGGGAACTTTTGGGTAGTTTTACTTGTGAGAGAGAGAGAGAGAGAGAGAGAGAGAGAGAGAGAGAGAGGGGGAGAGTAGGAGAGTGAGATGAGACGTGTAAATTTTTATTATTTTCTGCAAAGTGTACATTCGAAGAGAGGCACAATTATCAGTACCTACGCTTACGTCACTCACTCGGTAAATGTTAAACGTGCACACGGCTCAATAGCTTCGGCGTGCGCGTGCAAAACCGATATTAGCCTTAAAACTGCCATTCTGGTTTTTACCTCGCATTCCACCGGGACGTTATTTTCTCGCAATCGCGCTAATGTCTCGACAACCTACTCGTGAATCCGCCCAATCTGCTAAAAGTACCAATCTCTGGACTTCGGATTCTTACTGCTTCGAGGTCCTTAAATACGTGTATTTAAAGTTTCAATATAGAATATGCATATACAGGAGAAAAAGAGAATTTGCTTCGATTAATTAAGTGTCTGGTGAGATATGAACGATCCAAAAAAGCATGCAATCGACGTTACCAGAGTTCTTTTCGAGTTGATAAGAGATTCTGGTTAACTCACTATTCAAATTTAAGCAATGTGGAAAAGCACAGGTAATTTTGTGCGATCAATGCGACGTAAACTTTGCAGAAAAAAGTCAATATTTCGTCGGTAAAGTTTTCAAGTACGTGGCATCCCCTTAAGGCTCCTTGTACTTTGCTGTGGCCATGTTGGATTTGTGACGTCAGAAGCGGGGAATAACATGCTGACGAAAATTGCGTGCCATTTCTAAATAAAGATAAATACGGACGAAAAAGCGCTTGAGATCGCTTGAGCATACTTTGTAAAATTTTCCGAAAACTATCCCTTTCTCTGACGGCCAGTAAATAGTCGTATAATAAGTGGTGAAATAAAATAAGCAGACTCAATTCATTATTTCACGTGTCTCATTTGACCATTTGTTACACGACTATTTATTGATCATCAAGGGAAAGAGATACCTTTCGGATAATTTTACAAGTGTGCTCAGACAATCTCAAATGCTCTTTCGTTCATATTTCTCTTTACTCAAAAATGGCACGCAAATCCGACGAAATGGTCTCGGCGAAATACAAGGAATTTTAAAGACCAAAACAATAAAAAAATGTCCAGGATTAGATATGTGTACTTTTATCTTAATTAAAGCTCGTGGCGTGACGAGCGAATTCCCCGCGTTGTAATCCATGTAGCAGCGATGTTCTTTTCTCTCCTTTTTCTCTCGCGCGCGATGAAAAAATAATTTTCCCAGCTGTTTCATCGCCCAAGGCAGTCCGAATCCATCCGTGAATTCTTGGAGGCCTGGCCTCCGTTCCGTGGATATCCTCCCATGCTGAGTAGGAAATGGCGAATTCGGATCTATTTAGGTCATGGATACATGTTATTTAACGCGGATCGAAGCGCGCGGCTATCGCTCGAGAATGCCTGCGACTTTGGATCGATATTACATATCGCGATATGTCGCTGGCGGTCTGCGACGTCGTGAAAGAAACATGATCTCTTCTACGGAGTATGATCGCCCGTGGACGCATTATTCAGCGAACTAACTTCTGTGTTAGCCATTCCCGTGTACGTGCCATACTCGATTTTCATTCAATCCGCGTCGCGTACGCGCGTACTAAATTAAATTAATAACAACGCAGGGCGGACTCGAGTTCCGTTCGATAAACTGCTGTAAATTTTCGCAACTCCCTGTGAAGTTTTCATTCGCATTAAAAATGTAGGGCACGCGCGTTCACTGACTCGTAGAACAACAAAACCACAAGTTTTCGGTGTGTTTTAAAGCAAAAGTTCCAATGTCCGGATCACGTACCTAATCTTGAACATTCTTATTGTTTTGATCTTTAGGGTTTTTGGTCCCGTGCCGCGAAACTTTTGATTGACGACGTCAGAAGCGCGAAAACGCATGCCAAAAATTCTTGCGTGTTATTTTCCAATAAAAAGATATTTGTGTGAAAAAGCACTCCAGATCGCTGGAGCATATATTTGTAAAACCTTCTCCTCTTTTTCCTTTACAATCCTAATAAATGGCCGTAAAATTAACGTGATCCGTAAACTCCCTCTTAACTTGTTCTTATAATTTTTCCACATTAATTTTTTACTATTATTTAGTAATTGTCAATAGAAAAGGATATTTTTCGGAGCGTTTTACAAGTATTTTTGCAAATATCAAATGTGTTTTTATTTGAAAATAGCGCAATAACTTTTGGCGTCATTTCTCATCTCTGACGTCACGACCCAACATGGCCGT